CTCCGGGAGAGCAGGAACGCGGGGGTTGTTCCCTAGGAGCCACCCAGACACGAAAAGGACAAGAAGGTTAATTAGATTTCCCCAGATCCTTTTTATATTCTTTCCAGTTGAACTTCCAAACACTGTTTTTTCTCCTTTTCTTATTTGCCAATTACTAGGCTAACACATCCAGGCTATGAAAAAGAAAATGGCATAACTAACATTGGCTTCTTTTAATTTTTTATTTATATTGCCACATTCAATATACTTGAATGTGGCAATAGAAATAAAACATTATATATTATATTAATATATAAATATTTTATATAATATATTTATCTTATATATAATATATTTATATTTATAAATATATTGTATGTAATGTAATTATACATATAAATATATTGGTATATAAATAAATCTATTTTATATATATATATATATTTCTAAATTGAATTTTGCCAAATTCAAAATTCCCTGTTCTACTCTGAATTTGCTGTTCAGCACTGATGAGTAGTAGCATTCATCCATAACCTTGGATGGATGTTATTCAGCCAGGAAAATAATTTGTACCTTTATTTTCATTGCGGTTAAAATCATATATATTGCCTTTTCTGATAAATTATGTGAATCATATTACTGATATCATGGACAAATAAATAATTTCAAGACTTTTTTTTAAACATAGAAATATTTTCATTAGCTTAGTTTGCACTTCCATTTTTTAAAAATGGAAATCTAAGAATTTGAGCTATGTATTGTTCTAGCAAGATAAAAAAAGCTTTGGCTAAACCCAATGACATGGTCAAGTTATAAGGCAGTATAAAAAAGACACCTTGTAGTTCAGTCTAATGCCACCCCTTAAAGCACAAAGTCAATCAAAAGACTTCAAAATACAATTTTATTTGTCTGCCACTAGCCATGTGCAATATTTTAATCCTACATGCTCCAGTATAACTTATTTTTTACTGTTTCTACTTACATAGGCACATAAATAATGAATGTATTTATGTTCTACCAGTGCAATTATCTGTCTGTGAGCAGAGATTAACCTTTTATGTTGATAACTGCAACATTTTGAGTCGTTTATTAGAACCAAGTACTTGCATTCCTGAGGAGTCACAGATGCACAGCTCACCAAGCTCCAAACTGGCATGAAAAAGTGCCCCTTTTCTGTTTATTTTTACTCCTTAACATTTTTACAGTGCACTGAACATAGAAAAACATCCAAATACATCAAAGCACAAAGACCCAAATTACACACTCATGTTTTCACAGTAAATACCTTTCCCTCATTGTGAAGCCTCGTCCTGCCAGAGCTGTCACCCAGAACTAAAGTCTGCTCGCGCTGGTGGGATTAGTTCTGAAGATTTCCAAACAGGAGGCAGACGATTTCACTGAAAACACAATATGCATTATAAGACTGTAGTATAAGACATGTCAGTATGACAATAATAGTTTTCAGCTGGTAGTTTTTCATCTGAGTTTCCCGGGGCAGTTGCCACAAATTCATCAAATACCTTCTGTTCATTGTTCACGTGGTAAAAACAGCTGCAAGATCAACTGGAATGCCAGTTTACAGCCACGGATTTGGTGCCCAGTACTCCCAGACAAGTACAGCTGTATTAACAGAAAATCCCATTTTTTTGGATAGCCCACCAATGCTGCTGAGTCACAGGTACCATGGCTAGGGATGCAGCTGTGAAGTTTACCACAGGAATTGCAGGGCAGATGCTCCAGAGCTCACTTGGAACTCTTTGACAGTTACTTTGCAAATATAAAAGGTATTTTGAGAAAGGAATCTTTAAGATTCCCACCTTAAAAGAAACAAAAAGTCTAAACAAATCTGAGTTTCAGTGTCATGTACTCTAGGCTAGAGGTCAATAACTCAAACAGCAAATTGTCTAGAATAAGAATTTTTTGGGTTTTTTTTTGCTGTGTGTTTGCATCTACCTAATATGCCAAGGTTATTTTTGTGGCAGTGTAGTTTGGCTTGCAACTTTTTCAGTAGAACAATTTGTAATTAGCTCATACATGCATAGAGACAAAGTGTTACATATCAGGGATCACTGAACATAACTCCCTCAGTAGATCCCTGCAGCTGAAATACCAGAAGTTAATGTGGTTTGCTGCAGAAAGGGGTTTATTTTTGTTATCTTTAAAAGGTACAGGTCATTGGTTTCACTTGCCATTTGTCCTCTGTTGGGGATAAGGGGGAGGGGGGAGCTCCCAAACCTCTCTCCAGCATTTTTCAGCATTTCTATCTGTGACACTTGCCAAAATGTACAAGTGAGGCAAATTTATTGTGACTGATGGTAATCAGGTTTTTGGATTCACTGAAGGCACTTCAATGCTTAATTGCCACTTAGTGCTGAATAAGCATTTAATAAACCAAAATCAAAGGCTGATTAAATTATATACTCTAATTACATAGTACAATAAAAAGAAGTTTTGATTGCAAAGTCAAGTTGTTGGGTAAGGACACCATCTTTAGAGGTCAGCTCAGAGTTAGCAGTGCCTGACTTCACATAACCTAACTTCCTTCATCCTGCAGTAACAGAGCTGTGTCTTTCATCTCTTTGCTACAGCAATTCTTCATTTTAATAATGCTGCTGTTGGGAACAGTGCTCACAGTTTCTCATACCTGCACAGGGTGCCAGGTTAAGGTTTTCTGTTGGATCCTGTTGAGAGCAAAATCCTGGGCCATGCACTGAGGGCTCTTCCTCAGCCTCCCTGTTGCCTGTAACTGTCCCCAAGAGGCTGAATGGATGTTTTAGGCACATTCAGGTAAGAAAACAGACTGCAGATATGTATTTCTGTTTTCCTGGCCATCCTCACTATCTGAACAGGCATGCTAAGAACATAGTGAAATTTGTTGGTTTTTTTTGTTGGCCATTTTGTTAGTGGCAAGAACTCCAGATTCCTTCCTGAAGGGGAAAGATCAAGCTGGGCACTAAAGCTGAGCATTCCTTCCTCCTGAGGGAACAGCAAAAAGTGCACAGTTCACCCAATGCATGCTCAGTTTCTTCTGTACTTGTACAGAGGTAAACCAGTGGAGCCAAGCTTGAGCCATTACCCTTTGTGCTGGCTTTTCCCAAGAACCTCAGACAACCCTCCCACGTGTGAGGTTCCTGAATGCAAAAGGCATGCATTATAAAGCAGCTCAGATCTGCTGCTTACTGCCTTTTGGGAGGGGCAATTTCTTGAGAAGGAAGATTTCTCAGCTTCCACAAGCTGTACAGGTTTTTGTTGGGAGGGTACTATCTTATTTTTGCTTCAGCAGCTGAGACAGGTTGGGGTGACATCAAGATCTCTTACAGAAGACTGGTCCCCAAAAGCCCAAGCTCAGCACTTGGCCACTCTATCAGATGTGTGTATTCCAGACCTCTTGATCCTAGAACATGGTGTTTGCATAACTGCTGAAGTGTCTTGTATATAAATTCTAAAATAGCATTTTTTTTTTGCATTGACAAGAAAGAAAACACAGCAACCAGAGGTTTAAAGAAGGTGCCCAAACAGGCCACTAAGTGTGAAGAGCCAATCTGGCCTGAAGTATTTATTATTTTTCTCTCAGCTGTACATTAGTGAGGTTAGTCAGCCTGAAGTCCAGACACAATACCAACACTGACACACAGCCAGTGAGTGCATCAGGGAAGAACTGAACTGGTGCTGCAAGGCAAGCACAGTGCAGTGCTAATTACCATCGCTGGGAAATCACTCCGAGTGCCAGAGATGTTCACTCTGTGCTTTACCACCGTATTAAAGAGATTAGCAACTTTTTCACCTTCAAATCTTATTAAAAATGATCAGAGAAAGCATTATGTCCCATAAACATCATATCAGATAAAATATTCTCATTCTTAAAGATGTGTCAATTTGAGTAAAAGCTTTATTTAATTTAGAGTTTCAGCATCTGCAGCTGATGTACTGCAGTCCACAGCAATAACCACTAAGCAATTACCAAAACCAAAGTATTAAAGTACCTGCTGCATGAAGTGAAGCATGGGAAACGGCATCCCAGAATTTCCAGTTCAAAAATCTTTGCAAGTTAGTAGAAATCTGGGTCACCATGTTCTGAAATTTAATCATTCTATACGTGGCAAACATGATTACATGCCCTTGCCTAACAGCATGAGGTAAGCAATTGCAAAGGAATTCTTCATTACAGGCATTATTTTGGCAATATTCCCAAGGCAGTTGCAGATATGATTAGCCACCAGGACTGAACTCTCTACAGCAGGAATTCCCACCCACATATGGCTACTGGCATACCAGGAGAGATGAAAAAACATGCTGGGTTAAATATTTCAAGGTAATTTTTCAACTGACATGGAAGTAGAATGTGCTTTCTGCTTATGTTTGCTAAGCTACTACATCAAATCAGCCGTACACATATAAGGGGGAAAGAACTTTCAGAAAACAAACTTTGGGGTTTGAATCCATCCACAAACTCCAATCTTCTCCCTGAGCACTGGAAGGAATAAAGACGATAACACAGCTGAATCCAACAGGAGTTTATTACCCACGCATTGCAGGTGAAGTTAGACATTTCAGTTACCAGTCAATATAAGCTTAAGTATTAATTGACAACTCAGAAAGTGTACAATGAGTACAAAATCATTAAAAATAATAAAACAAAGTGCCGATGTATTAATTTTTAAAACATCAGTTGTACACTATTATACAGCAAACATTATATGATCCTCAACTAACTCTGCGCTCGCATCTCAGTTGTTTTGGGTTTTTAAAATCAAGTTCTCCAAGTGGTTGAGAGACTGGGTTACAACTGCATTATTTCCCAAAAGGCTACCTAATATACAGCCTTACCTTATAGAGACAATGCTGGTTTGTATTTTATCATCTTCCTTTTACCAGGGAATGCAGTAAACAGGAAAAAAAATCTATACATAAAAAACTCCAATACACAATATTTATATATATAAATGTATCTATATTGTACTACAGATTTCATATAAATCAAGTGTAGGCCAAATTTTGGCATAACTTTTATGTGCATTAAGTTTAATACAAAATCCCCCTCAGACTCTACTCTTACTGTTCCCATTACTTGCTCCTTAACTGATCTTCTTCAGTTTTGATACTTCAGTCATCTAGAATTGTCTTAAGAGGTAATTTCCAATTCAGTAATATCACCATTATCTTTCATTACACTTTCTAACAAAAATAAACTTGTGGGAAAACAGTGACTAATAAAATCCTCCAACTTGATGGGAATTATTTACATTTACTAGTCAGTATCTTTAAGGTACTGTTATCCCACTTACCCTCTCTTCTCCTTTGATCCTAACAGGAACAGTTACTGGACATATACTGCAAGCACACCCTGCTTTCCTTCCTTTTCTTACAAGGCCTCTTAACCAACATGCAAATCATTTCTGGTGCAGAATGGAGTGCAGAGAAATTTTTCAAATGCATGGCTAAATTTGCTTCAAAACCAGCATGTGATACTTGCTTTTTAGAGAACACCTGAAGTGCTTTATCCTCTCTGCCATACAGAATTACATTTTGTTTCCAAATTCGGCTTTCATTGCCTTTCTTCAGTATTGTAAGAACAACATTAGTGACCCAATTAATCTATCAATTTGACAAATATATAATTTGCTTGAAATGTTAAAACAGGCTTATATATTCTTTTCTGAAAGAAAAGGCCACTTAAGCTTTCCTGTAGAATAAAGTCTGGGAAGAAGTCATTCAACTTCCTCCCACAAAAAAGTTAAGTTTCCTCAAAGTTATTTGTAGAATACAGAAATAAATGATATAACCACCAAACATTCTACTTTAGACCAAAGAACCATTCAAGAATCAGTTGCAATAAGTTGGGTCACAATACCCCAATAAACCATTTCTCCTCTCATTTTAATATCTACTGACTTTATTCTGGGGTCTCTTCATTCACAGAATTATGGTACAGAGGGGGAGTGTTAGAAATGTGCAGCCAGTTCCACCTACACAGAATGGGCTTCCAAGTTGAGCCCTTTAGCAATCTTGTAAAAACAGGGCTAAGTGTGATTTTAACAAGGAAAATCACCCAAAAGCAAGGCTATCACATTTGGAAGCTGAGTCACTTCACACACACCGAGCCTGCTCACAGTCAGCACGGACTTGCCCTTCAGGCTTCATTCTCAGTGATGTGTGGAAGGAACCAAGTGCAGAACTCCCAGTAAAGTTAGCAGGAGTTTGACAGCAATGCCCCTTCATACCATTGAATTATTAAATATCTTCTGTAATGTGTGTGAAAACTGGTTTTATTGTGAAAGCAAATACTGAAACAGAAACAACTTTTAGCACAACAGATGTATTTACTTACAGCATGCAAGGATTTGTTTTTATATATTTTTGTAGCTAAAAATCCTTAATTATTTACAAATTCAAAATTACAATCTTCACATAAGTAGCAATTGCTTACAGAAGTTCTGGACACTCTCTCAGAAATAAGCAAAAAATGGAGTAAAAAATACTGCGAGCAGTAATTTAAAACAAAAACAAAGGAAAAGCTATTAGCTTCTAATATCCAGACAATTTAACACTGTTCTGGTAAGAAAAAAATAACACAAAAGCCACATATCACATTTGGAGATGCCATTTTAAAAAGAAAAAAATGCATCTTTCTGTTTGGTTTTTCTTTCCAGGAGAAATGCTGTACATAACCTTTAAAAATTCCAAATAAACAAAAAACAACTCCCTTTGGTTTGCCTATTTACTTTCAAGTCGCTCCTGATAGAGACCCAACAGCTTCACAGGTGATACTGTGATACTTTATATACAGGTGATACTTGTATATAAAGTAGGAGAAGCAAGGAGAAAGCAAAAAATCAATGCTTTTTTATAAACATGAAACATTTTTCCAAAATAACAGATTCTAAAACTCACCCAAGATGCACGTGTCCATTCTGAGTGAGGGCCAGACCAGAAAAAATCCTGCTCCTGTGTTTAAGGCAGTCTCAGACTAATTTGCATCTCTTCAGCCTCTTGGAAAACAGAATTTTGTGTCAAATTGCTCTCTACCTGCCTGTTGGTTTTTAGGATTATTTCACACAATAATTAAAAAAGGCAAATGTAGCCAGCAGCTTTTTGTAATAAATGTGCATTTATACCTGGTTCTATGAAGTAATAATTCTCTCTGGGACTGAGGGAGTTCAGTAGCAGGATTTTTTTGCACCACATCATAAAGGGTTTCAAGCATATTTCCTTCTGGAAAGCCATTTGACTACCTCTTAAAGCTATATTAACTTTATTTATGAAGAATTTGGTACCAGCTGGTGCTCATACTAGAAACATTTTTCATGTTCGACTCTAAGAATAGATTAGGGCAAAGAAAGTGCTCCAGTTTTACCTGCTGCTTGTTATGCCCAATTCCAAGGAATCTTAGCTTATTAGTAAACAAAATTATACACCAATACAAATACTTGGATTTTGAAGCATTTGTATGTCTGTACTTCTTTATCCTCTAAAGGTATTCATATTGCATGACATTTTGTGCTAACTGCCCTCTTGAGCCTAACCCCTTATAAAACATGAAAATAGAACAGTAGAACTTTTTCTCATGTAAACTTCACTGAAGTAGTTGCTGAAGGTGCTTTATAGACATTCTGATGGACATTTCCTGGGCAGTGGTACACAGAACATGACATTTTGAATTTACTCAATGTAATGTATAAAAATATAAAAAATACGTTTATGACAGTAGAATAAGCTACAGTGCAATTTTCCTTAGCCTGTTGAAAGCTCTGTGTGATCTTTTTCACTCTTTCCAGATCCTCTACAGTACATCTCATGTTCCATTAATACTACAAGAGAGCAAGCACAGCTAGAAAATACAGCTTTACTTATGCTCTTTATGATGTAAACTTGAAGTTTCTAGAAGTCCAATATGTACCTTAAAAAATGAGTTTTGCTCACTTACCTTTTCTGTGCTAGAATTTAAACATTTTTTGCTAGAAACTGTAAAGCTAGGATATTTAAGGAGAATATGCCCTAAATATTTACTAAATATCAGAGAAAGTTATCCTATTATTGTTAACAGTCCTCAGACTACTTAAATATAATTGAAACTACACCACTTGCTTAGGGCTTTAAGCATAAGGCATTTTGTGTACATTCCCCCAGCTATGTATTTAATGGCTATCTTGGTGTGTGAAGCCAATCAGTGAAAATCCCATTCTCAAAACCCTAGAAACCAATTTACCTTTTCCTGCACATTCAGCACTGAACTGCAAAAGAGGAACAGACACAAAAATCAAATCCAGAAACACACACTGAAACTATTTTCTCACCATTTTCTGCTGGGTAAGGTGTTTCCAGGTATGTAAGTTGTTTAACACACTCTCAGTTCTTAATACCTCAGTTAAATACATTCATAGCAGTGCATTCAGGATGCATGGCAAAAATGCACCAGAAAAGTTGAGTTTTTTCACATCATCCAGTGCCAGAGTACCATAGACCTCATGTGCTTCAAAGAAAGTGAAGTTAACTTTGTCAATCTACACACTAACAGCTTGGAGATATCATCTCCAACACAGAAAACCTTCTAAAACCAAATACTGCTCACAAAAAATGTAGGCTTTGTATTCTATCCGATCACTGTATTTCCCAACCAAATGATGCTTTTCCTGAAAAACAAGTACAATACAAAATTAAGGAATTTGTGTCTGCTCAGACACTAAGACAGCGCTTCCTGCAGTAACTGTTCCTGACATGAAAATAACAGATCAGGCAACACATGAACAAGACAAAATGAACAGAAAAAAAGCACATGAAATTACACTTGAAGGGAAAAGGATCATGAAAAGCTCGAAAGCACATAATAAAATCCTGCCAAATTTAGACATCACAAACTGTTCATGCATTGACCATACTGTCTTGACTGCCTCACAATCTGTGAATCAGAATGATTACTAGTTTACTTTAATTGTTACATTGTCTTGTAACTATCTAAATTGGGTAAAGGTGATTATTTCCTTTAAATATAGTATGTTAATGCATAAAAATACAGATTTTTCTAGAGTAAGTATTATATTTTCTAACCAAATACCTAAAAGCAGTGGTCCTTCTAGATTAGTTTGGAATAATAAATGAAGCCCATTTCTTTGCAGAATGGGGTGCTTTTATTGTTTATATGTTTAAATAATTAATACTGAATATCCATCCACTGTATAAACAATCTCCAGAAAAATATATCCTCTTGCAGTATCTTACAATACACATTAAAAATACTTACAAAAGGGACTATTGTTCATTTACAATATCTTGAGCTCAAGGACACAATTCCTGTGTTGTTTCATTTATGCAATTTTGATCAGGAAAAGCTGAACATTCTGGTTAACTTGGCCCATGTCAGCAACATGGACAATTAACATTTTTTTAATATCTGCCTAATTATGTAGGATTTTCCATAAAATCAGGCATTTTACATCACAGTATATATGGCATTTCTTAGTTTAGCAACAGAAAGGCACAGTTATTAAACCATAAAATACAGTACCTGAATTATATATACTCTAGTGATATCTACCAATGCTAATCCAGACATTTTTCTCTGTAAAGGGGGCTAAAGAAAAAGGCTTTTGTTTAATTATTTAGAAAAATTCAACCTCATTACAAGTTTGGTCCGTTAAAAATACCTATTAGTTGAAATACCTTGAAGCAGGACTTCAGGAAAGAATAGAAAAAAGTAAATGTAACAGTTTATGGTCCAACAACTTGAATTAATTACTGTGAAATGGCAAACAGATCATGAATGGAGCCTTCTGAATAGCTGTCAGACACACCTGCCAAAGTGTCACTGTACACAGGTACAGCCTGGCAGCCATCCCAGATACATTCACTGCATCACACACACAGACTTGGTTACAGCAATAAGTCCAAAAAACAGCATTTACAGAGGTCAGCACTTCTCCTGGACTGATGCTTGACTGCTGGCCCTAAACCATCCCCAGAGATGTGCAAAGCCCTTTAAATGCTTTGCCTGCTTTGTATTGCTGTTAATAGGAAGACCCTGCTAAAGCCAAGCTGGCTGGCCTCCCTTAGCAAACTAGTGCACCTCTTCAAAAAGCAACTAGCTCAGTTCTCCCTACTCAAAGTGATCAAACTGCATCAGGAAAGACCAATGAAATGGAAGAGGCAAGGAACAATAAACATGAGGGAGAAGCCAACCATCCCATAGGTAATGTAGCGATAGGGCAGCTCGACCTCCATGCGCTGCCTGGCTCTCCGCACGTCAGCGTGTGGGATGCGGAACATTTTACACGCCAGTGGAATCGTGGCTTTTTTCATGGCCACTCTTGTTAACAACAGCACGATGACGCCGATCAGCAAGCGCAGTATGGCTTTTCCAAACACGGTCACGGTGAGGGAGGACAGGGACAAAGGCAAGGTGTGGGGAGGAGGATCCAGCTGCAGGCCCAGGATGTAGTTGACATGAGAGCCGCAGGCCACGCCGGCACCGCAGCCCAGGATCTGAGCTGTGTCTCCTCGCGACGTGCTCCACGTGTCCAGGGTGAAAGAGAAGATGCCCAGGGCCAAATGGAGACTGATGATAATTAAGGGTGCATATTTGTAAGTTAAGTTGAAGTTGTCAATCAGGTCCACAAGTGGATGGAAGACAACCAGGATAAGAATAGCATAAAGAAATCCAGCAATAACATCCTGTTGAAGAGAAAAATATGGTTTCAGTGTGGTAATCATTAAGACAAAAGCCCTCAAGTTACATTAGCCATAATACAAGCCTAGCTACTGTAGTGTAAAAAGCAACTTGTGGATTCCTGTCTTTTACTGGATTAAATCTTTATTATGTTAAACATAAGGTAAGGAATTGCACTGGATCACTTATTATCAAATTACCTGCATCCTGACCAGACCATGAATGAAGTTATGATCAAAGGATCCTTTACTGAAGTTGTAGGTTTGGACTTTTAGTAAGGCCTGTTGTGACAGGGCAAGGGGTGATGGTTTTAAACTAAAAAAGAGGGGATTCAGACTGGATATAAGGAAGACTTTTTTTTTTTTTCCAGTGAGCATGATAAGGCACTGTTACAAGTTGTTCAGAGGGGTGGTGGATGCCCTGTCTCTGGAAGCATTCAAGGTCAGGTTGGATGAGGCTCTGAGCAACCTGTTCTGGTTGAAGATGTCCCTGCTTATCGCAGGGGGGTAGGAGTAGATGATCTTTAAAAGTCTGTTCCAACCCAAAACTATTCTGTGATTTTTCTATGGTTTTTCTGCTGGCAACACTAGTCCCTGCCCAGGGCCAGGGCATTCCAACCTACAGTCAGCACAAATCCAGCCCAGCTAAATATGTTCTGCCAACTTAGGTTTGCTGAAACAGCTCAACAGTGGCTCTGAGGACCTGGGTGCCAACACGTCCAACACTGGCAGCAGCAGCAGCTGGTGCAGCAGTCAAGGACCTTTGCAGCCAGGCACTAAAACAGCTTCAACTTTCCACTCCAGCTTCAGAATTAACAATGCTGGAAGAATGGGAATTGTTTCCAAATATTAAAGGAGAGGAAGAGATAACCTCTGTGGCTTCCTAACTGATTTTCAGTTTCACTACTGTTTTTAAAGGTATTTTCTTAATGAAAACATTACCCAGTGATTCTTTACTTCAGCATTAAATTTCAGTTAACTGTGACTGATCACTGAGTTGCATGGAATTCTCTGCCACTTTTGTCACCTTCAATTGTTAAAGAACTTGTGCAATCCAAGCATTACAAAGTGGCCTGCCTTAATTTTCATGCTTATCAGCTCTTCCACATGAGCCAGGAGGTAGGACTTCAGTCACCAGAGTTTGTATTGCTCCAGCTTCAATTAATCATTTTTATTTGCTTCCACTAATTGAAAGCTTGATAAAAGCTCTAAAAACTTTGACTGATATAAACATCAGACTTGTTCATTTCAGAAGCAACAAAAGAATCTTTCTGCTCTATTTGCCACCTACTCCCCCCAAACTCAGGCACTGTGGTTGATGTGCATTGCACACTGTATTCCCTCAAACTCTGCAGAGGATTCAGATGTGAAATTGCAAAATAGCCCTGTCTGCTTGCTCACTATTTGTGGCACAACTTTGTTCTATGACATTTTGTGTAAGCTGAACTATCAGCCCATCACATCATCCTTGATGGGGTGGTTTTAGATTGGAAAGCCTCCTAACTACTGATGCAAAAATATAATTTAGTTTTTCTGAGCTGCCTTATTCCCCCATGCTCCTTTTATACTGTTAATTTACCAGCTTTTCTACTCCCTACCAGGCTTACCCTTTTCTGTTAGCTTTTCTTCAAAAAACATCTTTAGCCACCCCCATAAGTGGTCTTGCATTGCAATTACCACTTTCTAGTGTTCTTGTTTTCTCATTTCTTCATTGCATACATTTGTGTTTCAGTTTGAGGTGTTTCAATCTGTATAATAAAAGAGTTTGTTTTTCATAGATGACAACTTTGTTACCTAGTTTTAGAAACTCTGGTAAATGAATCTCTAGCATGTAGAGTGGCACTCCAAAATGCACACGCTTTGAGCAGCTGATGTGGAATGAACTTTAACAGCCACTTTCTCATTCTGCAAAATGATTTCTACTCTGTAGAGGAAAATTTACTCTACACTTTAGAGCAGTCATCAATTTCTGCACTAAAAAATGACATTAAACACCTATTAAGTTTCAACCATGGACCGAGTTTATAAAAGACAACTGTAAGTTTAGCATGAGAGCGACTTTTAGCTATTTTATCAATTTCTATGCTGAAGAAATGCAAGTCTTCTGTTTCTGTATGGTAGGACATTACAAAAATACATATGTATATCATTATTGCACTGTAAAACATTCAACGTGATGTGAGTTTATTAAATCAGAACAGGATTAAAGCAGAAATTCAGTAGTAGATTAGATTTTCTTACCAAAATTGAATGCATTCCCATATAAATTCGACTACAGCAAACCAAAGAACACCAGCAGAATGCCAGGATCAGTCCAAACATAAGGGGATACTGGTAGGGAAGAAAAATGCAGAAACCGTATTAGAATTTGAAAAAATAAATTTAAAAAAAAAAATCACTCTGTGAACATTCTATAATTAATTCTAGTTAATGCCCCTGATATTTACCCTTTTCCTTACCCTAGCCTCCACAGGCCTAGGTAGCACCTTTTCATAGAGAAATTGTTAAGTCAAACTTTCAATCTTCCCCATCTTCTTTGCAATCACGATATATGAATTTCAGTGCTTTGACCAGATTTTTTCAAAGCAGGAAGAAATGTCTCAATCTCTGTAGCAGTTGTCTTGCCATGCTCTCTTATCCCAAACTGACCACATGGGCAGAGACAAGTGTGTTAAACTGTGCAAAGTTTTACACTGGATGAAGCAGCTCCATCACTTACTTGTATTGTTAGGAAATACCCAGGCAGAATTGAGTGGCTTCACTTTTTTCCCCAAAAAGGAGGAACTTGTAACAAAATTACAAAGAAATTCAATTCCTTCCTCAATTCTTTGTTTTAGGGTTTCTGCAGTCGTTGACTTAATCTCTGGGCATCAGCATGAAACTCCTAAAACAGTAATCTTTTTTGTTTTTTCCAAACTCACATAAATTTCCTCCTGCAAGCCACATTTGTTAAAACAAAAATCATCAAATAATTACTTCCAATTCTTTTTGCCTTCTCACATGTTCTTTTTATTAATAAGGACTGTTTACCAGGAAGAAATAACTTTGCTTTAATAAGCACATATCCCGTAGAGAAACTTAGTTTCTTAACTTCCTTAGGTGTTGGATAAAACTATGCTAATTTACATATTGCAGCACAGTAAGAAATACTTTCCCCACTATTGCAAAATGTTGTACAAGACAGGGTACACCTTCCTTTTTTGTCACTATTCTAGAAAAGACGCAGTCACAAGACTGGCAAGTTTCCAAAATTGCTCCTCTTCCCACAATAAACATGTTCAATGTAAACAGACAGCCGAGATGTATTCAAACCTAAGAACAAAATCTACAGGCAGTTTTCTTGCCCTTTCCCTTGTTCCTTTTATAGGTAACCTGAGGGGTAGAATATCCAACAAATTCGAGAAAATCTTTAAAATTACTGGAGGAAGCTCTCTGTCCTTTGTGAAGTCCACTTAACAGACTGTAAAGTTCCAAAATCAGTCTTTCTGTAAAAGACTTTAGACAGGATTATCACTCTTCTGCATTTTTACAACCTTCCCTGAATTCTCAACTCCAGATGACAAACCTAAAATAACGTTCTCAAGCTAAGAGAAAATCAGAAGCTTACATTTCACATAAGAAGCAGATTTCAGATTAAAACAAATTCTAAACACGCCACTCATGGTTGTGCTCTATCTAGATTAAACTCTATTTCCTGTAGCAACATTTGTCTTTGCTTCTATCATATTCATCTACAAACTGGATCTAAATGGAACTGTGTACTGACTGGAATGATGAAGGAACAAACTCAGTTTCCTGCCTTTCAGAACTCTGCTAATTCTGGGCAATGCACCAGTAACTCTGTCACACTCACACGTGAGTGCAGTTATCAGATACCAACATTGCTACAGCAGCCACAAAAGCAGCCCTTTTGGTACAAGTGCAGCCACATCCCTCTGCCCCACTGTGCTTCTCCCTTTGCCACTGGTCTCAGGGCAGAAGGAATGCTGCCTGCAGCAGCCACACACCCTCCCTGCACGGTGCTGCTGCACTCGCCCTCCCTCACGCAGGACTCCCCCAGCAGAAGTGCTCCGTGTGCAGGGACAGCTGTACCCTGTGGCCTCTGAAGCAAAGAGCAGCTTCAAGTTTCAAATTCTTTGGCCATCACTTGATAGCCTATGTCCATCCCTGTCTCCTGACACACATCTTTTGTGCTTTCAGAGCCCAGTCGGGGTAAGGCTTTTCTTTAATAAAGACTTGTCTTATTTCTGAGGTACCTGATGGAAAGAGGCTGGAGCTTTAGCTGGAAGATGAATGAAGTGCCAGGCTCAGCAGGGCTCAGCAGCTGCTCATGACACTGCGGGTAAGAGGCTGGGGTTGGGGGAGGGAAGAGGTTAGAGCAGCTGAACAGCAAAATCCTGGGAACAAGGAGTATGAAGGAAATAGTTAGGTGAGAAGTCTGGCTTTAGTAAGAGTCCTGAGCAGGTAATTGTAAACAGCAGGCAGACTACAATAATTCTGAAAATTAAAGAAGAAATGCTTGCTGTCAGGGAACTCACAGGGGAGGGGTGTTTGAGTAAGAAACTCCAGCTCTGAAGAATGTTTTGGAAAGATTACTTGGCTCTGTCGTATGTCACTCTAATTCTGAATAAATAGCCCTTAAACCATCTGAGAACACAGGCTAGTTTAGTTTCTCTGTAGCAAAACACAGCAGAATAGCTTGAACATCTTAAACTAGAACAGGCTGCTCAGAGCCCCATCCAACCAGGCCCTGAATGTTTCCAGGGATGGAGCATCCAACCTCCTCTCTGGGCAACCTGTGCCAGTGTTTCACCAGCTACAAAACTTTTTCCCTGCATCTGATCTAAACTAGCCCTCGTTCAGTTTAGAACCATCACCCCTTCTCCTATCACAAGAGATCCACAGGAGTTGATTCCCATCTTTCTTACAGGGACCTTTTAAGTACTGATCATAAAGCACAACACCCTGTGTCCTCCTCAGCCTGTTTTAAGTCCTACCTTTTAAAGCAGCCACTGGGTTCAAGCATTCCCAGAACACCAAACTGGTAGCACCTGCTTAAAATCTGCCCTGAGGTGGTGAGACAAGCATGTATTTGGTCCTCACACGCAGGGATAAGTGCACAAGGTGACTAAAAGAGAATATCAGCACTCCCACACACCTCTGAGCTCAGCAGCACGCCAAGTCACACCACCAATAGGGACATCACCTGGATCTTTGTAAAAGAAAGCTGATGCCATGGACTTACTTCCAAACTTGCCTGCAAGGCTGAGATACCAGCAAGCCTTATAATAATACTGTTTTATAATGATGGATTTCAAAAATCTCCTCTCCAAATCATAAATGAATATTCAAAGAAAGGGAAAAAAACAGCTTTTATGTTTTCTGCTTAAAACAGGCACATTTTATGAAAGAGCAATGTGAAAAATTTGAATATAAATTTATATTAAGTGTTCAGGGAAGAAAGTCATAACCACTTTCTCTTTTTATTATGTTGACTCAGCTCAGGTCTCTACTTAAATAAGAGATATTAAGCAAAACAGCTGAATTCCAGCAGTTTTAGTCCCATGGTTCCTGGCATGCCAGATCAGACCTACAGAGGCACAAAGCACAAAAGATCACAAGTTTGCTTCTACCCTCTTCCCCAAATCACAGTTGGTTTTACTCATTTGGGCATCAGAAGGCAGACTGGCATCACATGTCATTCCAGATGAGGCTGTTAGAGATCACAGGTGGGAGAGGCAGACATAGAAACCAGGTTTCATTCTTTCACCTTGTTCTTTTTGATAAAAGAATCGATGTATCAACATTATTGACCACATCTGGTGTCACTTTCAGTCAGATATTCAGGAGCAGCCCATTCTGGACACAAACATCTCAAACCCTGTCTCCATGCCCTCATTTAAGACCATCTCATGTATATCCTCAAAAATTCCTTATGCCTCCATAGCCAACATGGCACCTCAACAATTTTGAGTGTGGTTTTTTTTTTTTTAACTGCATACTGCTTTTTTTTTTTATGAATTAAAACCTCCAAACCAACAAGCATGTTATTTAAAAAAATAATTTTTTAAAAAGTGTATCGATTTCTTAACTTCACCTATTAAGGTAAAGCTAAGTAAACTGAATAAACTACTGGATAAACTCTACTCATTGTGTTTCAGACCCCAATTTTGTTCCCATATTCAGAATCTTGTTTTAATTGAAAAAATTGAATTAAATTCATATTTGTAAAACAGCAGTGAAAACACTCTCAGTAAGTCTTTGAGAACTTTATGTCCTATGCTTTTAAAAGGAAACTCCCATCCTATAGAAAATTCCAATACATCCTCCAAAATAGGTTTGCAAACTTCTGACTGGACTACACACAAAACCCTCCCCTATCCTCCTCCCGCTCCTTGATCTTTTTGCCAAGTCTTAATAACATAACCATTGTTTAAAAATGCTTATAAGGAAACAATCTGTCCCAAAAGCTTTGACCTAGGTCAGAAAATTCCTTCTTTCATAAGGGAACATTATTCAAAGACACTCTAAATACTCATTTCTTTACCTTTTTAAAGCACATTCTGCACCAGAGAAATTTCCAGCACCCACAAATTATTCCAAAGTAGCTTTCTAATATTTTCAGTGTTCTACAGCATTCAATGATCTTTTTTAAATCATAACGCAGAAGTTCAACTCGAGTTTGAGCCAATTATTTTGGGCTAAAGTTCACTGAAAGAATCCAAGCAGAACTTGCAGCACCAGGCTTTTAATAAGGTATTTCGGCCATGTACTGGCAATAGCCATATGAAAAGCTGCAATCAATGTTTATGGGCATGGCTCCAGCACCCTGGCTGGGCAGATGAGTTCAAAAAGCACAGCATAAAAATGATTTTGTGAACGGAGCAGAAGAAAAGGGAAAAGAGGATTGTTCAAAAAGAGAAAGCACCAGTCAGTCATTTTAGGAAAAAAAAAAACAACTTTCTATTTCAAAATGGGCCGGGTGGTAAATACCACTGGTTAAGCTACATTTATCAATTATTTTCTCCTTTCTTGCACTGACCATCATTAATACCAAGAGATATGAAAACCTCAGTGTTGCATGTTTCTACAAGAACCTCTTTTTAAAATTCCAAGATAAACTTTTCAATGCCAGTCCTAAAGGAAGTTAAAACGTTTAATTTTCTGCTACACCTAATCTGAAAAGAAATTAAGGAGGAACAATAAGAATTAGCGTGTTATTTCTTTTCATTGCAGTCATTAAAAAAACAATCCCTCTGTGAACACAGCTAGCAAAAATCACTTATGGCTTGCTCTGTTTATGCCCCAGTACCTAAAACTTCATTTTTTCT